TGGTCTTTAGGCTGAGTTTAAGTTGTATTTCTCTTGATTAAAAGCTTTTGGTTCAAAGCAATACTTTTTAATTGCCTAATGATATAAGTCACTTCTTAGGAAAGAGCCATGCATTTAGGAGTTCATTTGCAATATAACTGAAAAATTCATTGCATGGCAGTAAAACAATTTACTGTTAATTACAAGGAGAAGAATTTGCTGTACCATGCTCACAGATTGCCATGAATCATGCAGCACTCCTAGAGATTTATAACAGATGTGTAAGTGGGATGAATTAGCAGGGTTTAATAACAGAGACACAAATCATGCAGACTTCAAGGAGCTTTAATTGATATACTAGAATGTGACGGGCATGAATCACTCAGCCATTCAACAGCACTGTAACATATGGTCAGCTCAATATGCTGCATCTTAAATCGGTTGGTGAGTTGTTGGTTGTCCCATATGGTGGAAGCAATATATTTTTAAGGACTTTTTTTTTAAAAGAAACCATCACATTTACTATTTTTTTAAAAAAAAATATGATTCAATATGCTCATAATAAGGTGAACTCTTAAAACTTGTTATGTATGTTTAAGGCATATTATATACAAATTCTGTAAACAGATTTTCTTAAAGAGCTGAAGGAGCTGGTTGAAAGGTTGAAGTTTTCAATGGAAATATGTAGTTTTAATGATTCTATGTTATTATACAGAACATATACTTTACTAAACCCCAGTTCCTTGCCAGTACTTTATCCAAACTCACCAGTGCCTTCTCTACTAGAAGAATTTGTATCATGAAGGAGTTCCAGAGAGAAGAGCTAACAAGGAACACATACTTACCATGGTAGGAATCTCATTTTACCATCTAGATCAGTCTTTCTCAAACTCAACAATTTTAAGATATATGGATTCAACTCCCAGAGCTCCGCAGGCTGGATGGGAAGTTCTGGGAGTTGAAGTCCATACATCTTAAATTTGCTAGATGTTTAAGCACTGCTGCAAAAATCTGACTTAATTTTCTACCATATACCCTTTCACTTGTATGACATTTTTATGATTGTTTATTGTTGGGTTTCAGCATTCGTTAGTATTTTATTATGGTCTTTCAATTTACTTCAGTTTTTCTTTTTAAATTCTTAATTGTTTTCCAAATCATTCCATAAAATTTAAATATACTATTAGACTATTGTATTCTAAATATGGTACAACCACAGTTTCAGATTAAGGGAAGAGATTTCTTTTAAATGTGAAATCTGTAAATCTGGGTCCTTTAAATTAATGTTTTCCTGGAAATGCACTGAGGACTCTATTGCTGAGTAACGTTTCCTTGTCTGAAGTGCTGAATCCAATCTATACAGTCAGGCCTAATGATCAACCTCACTAGGTTAATGTGAAGTCAGCTGGGATGATGGAGACCTTACATTGTTGAAAACATTCCGTGGATATAACAATAGTCAAGTCTCTCGAGTGAATGAGTGATCTTCCACTCTCTGGGCAAGCCTCCAATTACACATTTGCTTACAAAGTGAAATTGTGCATGAGACACAAATGCTGTTTTTTAAAAATGGATAACCCTACATGTCACTATTCAAAAGGTTGAAATTATAATGAGCAGTTGGCAAAGCATAAATGAGACTGTATCTTCATGAATGTTGCTCACGGTTCTACTAGAAATGTAGCTATTTAGAAATTTGATGAAAGGGGAAACCTTAAGAAGCATATTTTTTGAGATAAAGCCAAGAGCACTAAGTGCTACCTATATAATATTTCACTGAGGGGTTCCTTTTAGTATAAATGCATGAAAGAAAAGTAGACCAGTAAAGGTTTAGTAACTATAATACAGATGCATTTTTATTAGCTTTAAAACCTGACATGCTATAGGAAAGCTTTAGCAGCTGCATTAGTAAACCTGACAGATTTGCGAAAAGAATTCACTATCCTTAGAAGCACGGTTGCCAGAATTTAATGTCAACAATTAAAATTTATTTTGATCCTCACCTAGTGTTTATTACTGTTTGTATACACAACAGACCTTACTAATACAGTGATGCACTATTAGATGGAATTACCATCTGTTCACAGTGAAATGTTGGCATCTGTCTTAGTTTCTAAAGCTAAAATGATATTGGTTCAAACAAAACAAAGTTAACTGCTCTTTACTTATCAACAATTATATTTTTCTTTCATGCATGCAGATATAATGTGCTCACACGGAGACTTGCACACAAATGTATTCATGGAAGGCTTTATCCTTTTTTTAATAGTAAGCTATAAAATGATATCTATACTTGATGTATTGTTAATATGGAACTGTATGGATTGTCTGTTTTTTTTATTTTTTGGCATTCTTTTGTAATTCCAGACAATGTAATAATTGTTTAACGTTTGAATCCTTTAGTTGGTGAATTATATATTTTACTGAAGAAATTTTAAAAGCCTGACATACTTAAAATATGCAAAACACAATTCAGTCTGTTAAAACAAAGAATGTTTTTATAGATGTAATTTAAAAGACCAGAATAAATTTACAATAAATAAATAAAATGATAATTCCAACAGGTATCAGTCATACCTTTAAAAACATATATTGTGGCTGCTAGCTTCTATTGTATATTGCATAAACGTTGATATGGAGATACATGTTATTTATTATCTAGAGGTTCCCCCCCCCTTCGCACACATAAGTGATTTGTTGATATGTAAATTTCAGAAGAATTTTTCATGTTAGGGCTCATACATTGTGAATCATCAAAAACATGCTATTTACAATTCTAATCTTCAACTAAAGGTGTTGCTTTCTGAAATATTAATTTTCTATTTCATTATGAAATAATACTACTATTTAATATAGCAATGCCCCTATTTAATATATGTACCACAGTGCGTTAACTGTAACTAGTACATTTATTTGTGCTGGAGTAGACTTGAAAATGATTAAAAAATCAATATTTTCCTGTCAAGGAAGTAAATGTTACAATGCATTTAAATAATTAAGTGTGCGAGTGCCATAAGAGCTTCAAATTTGGATAGGGAAGATGCTATAATTACAGTACAAGCCTCTCCAATTTATTATGAGAATATATTTAAGGAAGATTTGCTGTTTGTTCTAAAGATGGCTATGTGTATTCATTTTAGGCAATAATGAATTTTAAGCTTCTGTTTTTGCTAGTTAGAAGCTGAATTGGAATATTAAATCCTGGCAGTTGCATTCAAAATGCTGACACAGCTGAATAACTTCAAAGGTGAAATTCCAATGGTAAAGCCCATATTTTCTTTTGAAACTTGTGCATTAATGCTGCATTTCATTAGTGCTCAGTGCTACTTATGTGGGAAGGCTTATAACCTCACATGCCAGATTTTCAAATTTCAACACAGTAAATTTTGACCAAAGCAGTATAATACTAATTAGATTATAAAGTCATAAATGATATCTGAACAAGAATTTATAATGCATAGCTTGGAGTAATTTTTTTGACTCATCTTTTCCTTCATCTTAAAGTATCCTTTCTTCACACTGTAGAAAAAGCAATAGTAGTACATTAAATGTTCATATAAAAATGCAAAAAATATGCTTATGGTTTTATATATCAAACACTTTAAAGATGTATTATTAATTTATTATGAACTAAGATCTTGTGGTTAACTCCTAGCACAATGCCCTAAATGAATTTACAGGAGGCATATTTTATGTCATATTTTCTAAATGAATTATGTGCTGTATGATAACAGAAGCACCTGACTTTGATATATGTGGCATAGTTTAAGATTCCTCATGCAGAAAACACAACTGCAGAGTACATTTACAAAGTAATACTTGCTTGGAATTCAAAATGGAACAAAGTATTTTATATCTGCAAGGAGCAGAATACTTTCAACAGGTAAAGTGCTATTGTATGTTGTAATTAACTACCTCATTGTCAACATAATGTGCCACACCCAGATGCAGAAAGCTTCAGTTAGTTTGTAAGCCTTGAAAGGTGAATGCATCGAGAATGTGACACGTATGTTTATATAACCTGTAAAAAAATTGTTCGCCAAAATAGGAAAATACTTACTTTTTTTCTTTTATCAAGCTCATACTGCATACAATGTCTATATAATTAACAAAGCACATTAATAAATGATTTCCAGACATGGCACATTATTTCTTAATAACATGCATATATGCATGTACATGCAAAAGTATTATATGTGCGCAGGCTATGGTCTTTCACAGTGCACTTGCAGTACCATCACAGTACAATGTTAAAACTTATCATTAGATCTGAGGTTAGATTTTCAATTTCTCACATTAGTGTTTATTCATCATCATGACTGCAGATAATGTAATTTGCCTTTTATGGAAAGGAAGGTCTATGCAAGTCTTATAGAACTTTTCATTTTAGCCAAGTTATATGTGCCTGCTTATTTGAAAGATTGGCAAATGCTATGGGTTCATAGTATGTAGACTTTTGCATATATAAAGGTTTCTAATGGTGAAGTTTCTATCTTCAGAATTCATGTATACTAGCTCAATTGTTTTTTATTACTATTATTTTTTTTTACTATTATTCAATTTATGATAGAACTATTGTGTTCTAACAAAGGAATAAACAAAATCAATGTCAAGTCAATAAACATCTGATATTTGTGAGTCTTTTCTGCCAATATCATTGCATATTCTGATTCAAAGGAATTATTTGAATTTGTGCCATAATGTTTGCATTGTTTTTATGATATTCATGTAAAAATACTTTGCAAACAGTAAAAGAAAAAGCTAGGAGTGCTGTTCAGTCCAACAGGGAATTGGCAGATCGTATTTTTCCATTTCTAACAATTTAAATATTATTATGGACAGTGATATGACTATATAAAAACCTAAAGAAATTTGAAAGTTATATTGTAAATAGTTCCTTCTGTGACACTTTTTAGTAAATATTTATAAAAATATAAGAAACAAAGCATTAAA